GCCTATTGACATTGAAATATATAATATTAAAAAATTAATTTTATCTGATAACATAATTTCTATCTAATCTGCTTATTTTCTATTATTAAAGTTGATTTCGAACACAATAAAGCAAAAGCATATAAAATATTAAACGAAAGACTAGAACTTTATAGAATGCTACATCTAATAGAAACCTCTAACAAATCTCTCACATGTCATTTGTTATTACGGTATTATCAAAGTCAATGACCCTGGCAATCGCGGGATAGAAGAATGTCTGAAGATTGCAAAGCATTTATTCTTTTCTTTATTAAGCAGTAGTGATATGTCACACTTAATTCGATAAAGAACGACATTTATTATAACGACACATAATAAATGTTAATAGACAACATGTCATTGATTCGACAGCACAATAATATAATCTGTCACATAACTTACACTTTTACTAATAATTTCTTATCAATATATACACTTACTTGATGTCTATTTTTATTCTTAAAAAATAAAAATAGAGTTTTTTCATATTAACTTAAACTTACATTATATAGAGTAACTCATTTTTACGGAAAACAATTCAATTCAATATAATTAATTCAATCATATATTACATAATCATCATTTTCTAATAATCATGATAAAAGTATTTTCCATTTTATTAACATGATGATGAGAAAAAGAATCGAATGATAAATGGAATTATCAAAACTAGATCTTCTTACGTCTATCGCGAGCGAGAAGTATTGTATTGTAATGCAAAGTATTGTACAATTATATAATCTCAATGCTTATTATAATATGAAATCAGTTGTTTTAATGAAGCAGATAATATTTAACCAATCCATCAAATCCGTCCAATTATATATTATAATTATATATTATATATTATATATTAATTTAATTATATATTATAATTAATTATATATTAATTATATATTAATTTATTAATTATATATTATAATTTTTCATCTATTTTTTTTCTATTATTGCAGAGCATCACAAATGTAATGAAGGATGCCTCATTCATATCCAGGTGGGGTCTCAACACGCTGATTCGTCAGACAGACACTCATCCTCTCGTACAAATGACTGCGCATGAATTCATGTTTGGTTACCAATCAACCCTAGTTATCCTCGGCAATCACTTAATGCCCTCCTGGATCAAGTTCGATAAATTGGGACTGATCGATAGGGTAAGAAAGTAGACGATAAATTCTCAAAATATATGAAACTTTATATACGTAAATGAAATTTTATATTTTTATCTACTTAACGTTATTTTTTTTAAGGTAGAAAAATAAAAATTTCTTGGATTGCAAATATAAGATTTAGATTCACCGCTCTACTTACAAAATAAAAACATCTTTAGAAGATATATTCTTTCAACACATGATCTTTTTCCTTTTTCCTTTTTCGATAATGTAACGTTTAGCTGAAATATTATACAAGTCCCGCGACAATGCAAATCTCATACACTGACTACTTATTTTGTAGATGTACGATTTCGACGGTGATTTCGAAACAATTTACACGGGAGAGACTGATATTCGACTGGCAGGCTTGATCGATAAGTATAATGGGGACGTGAATCTACCGCAATGGACTGGTAAATGCGCGAATGTGCATGGTTCCAGCGACGGGGTTAAATTTCCGAGCTACATCAAGCCTAACGACACACTCCTCTTCTTTCGCAAGAGCCTCTGCCGAAGCGAACGAATGGTAATTTTGATTATTGCAATCATCACGACGAAATGGTTAAACAGTCTGACCAAGAACCTCCTGCCGAGTCATGCGTGTGTAATGTTATTTCTTCTATTATTAACTTTCTTCCCTTATACAGAATGCTCGTAAATTGTTCTTATGCAATTTACAGACGTATCGCTCGAACAATTCATATATATATAT